AGGATCTAATCCTTCCATGCCATCCACCAATTGCTTAATTATATCAGAGCCAGGAGATGCCTCAAGCCTGTCTTTGAATGTATAGAAAATATCCCTTTTAAGTTGGTCAACATCTAATGAAATGTTTCCCTCAAACCCTTGCAAATGTTTTCTAATCATATCCCAATCATGCAATGTTACATTATATAGGTAAGGAGTTACACAGAAATCAGTTAAATTTCAATCACATTACAGCATTAATTAACAAGTTTAAAATCTTGATCTTTCAGCAAAGCAGCAGTTTGTAGTAATAGTCCAGTCATTATTTTATAAAATGTCCAAGATCTTGATCTTTCAGCAAAGCAACAATTTGTATTAGTAGTCCAGTCATTATTGCATAAAATGTTCAGTTATAATAGAGTTCCAGAGTTTCTCTTAGACGGCATCCGCAATGGAAGAAATCTCTCAGCATTTAGCGATTGCCACTCTCAGGAATCTGCGAGGTCTTCTTGACATTTTGGGTGACTTCAGTAACAGGACAGGGTCATGTCACAGCATGGGCATCCCTCCTTTCTTCTGGGCCTTGCTGGCTGAAGAGAAATTCACCTATCTCCTTTGCCTGTGAAAATATAAACAAATAGCCCCTCTCTTTGGGGTGTCATTAACCTGCAAAAGGAATTATGATTAAGATTGGGTGGCTTCTCTGTCTCTTCTTTGTCCATTTTTCTCCAAACGTGGTTGCGTCCTTCTAAAGGGAGTCCATCAGCTTTATTCTGTAAAAATATATATGTATATCGCCCTTTCTCCGGGTGAATAGACCTGGATCCCAAACGCAATTTCCATCTTCTTGGGACTTCTTAGGATCAGCTTTCTCTGTAGAACTGAAAATGTGTTTATCTTCCCTAATTTTATTACAAGCTTTTAGTAAGGAGAGAAATTTTTTGGTTAAATTGACCAAATGAAATTCATCATACATAAGATTCCTCTTCTCCCCTTTGTTTTAACAATTTAGATTTCAAAGCACCGCTAGCAAACTTAGTTACCTTGCTTGGTCTTGAACCAGTAAAACTACTAGTCAGCTTGCCATACTTTGAAAGACTGAAAAAATTCTTAATAAATTTGTTCAGCTGTTCTTGAAGTAACTTACCAAACAGACTTTTTTTCTCCAAGTTTACCAATAAGGTTTTAGGCTCAATTAAGCCGTTTTGCCCTTCAGGCTTCTTACACTGTATGATTTTACAGTCTTGCAATCGTCTCTCTTGGTTAACTTCACTTATTCCTACTAAGCTGGATTTAAGGCAAGTTAATGGGCGGGTCTTAGGCCCTCCTGAATGCCCTAAGGCAATGACTCCATATGCAGAGCTTTTTAAAAACTTTTTTTCTTCAATTGTTAATTCCATGTGGGGGCACTGCTGTTTCCCCACAACAGCATTCCAAAAGACCCCTTCATGTAAAAGGTGGTCATAGGCATATATTTTTATTTTAGAGATGCAGGGAAACAAAAATTGGCTTACACGATCTTCCTTCTTTATAAACCATGGTATATCAGAATTTATCACTGCCTTAATTTTTTCATAATCCTGATCAATAATTCCAGCAACACCTTGAGAATTTACGTTGGAATTTCCTAATAAACATATTTTAGTTCTTGCAGGTAGTGGACCCCAATTACTCTTAATAATTTCTGATTTAATCACAGCTTCAGGCTTTTCCTCACAACTCTGATCAACTCCAGTATCAATTTTAATTCCTTGACTATTTAGGTTAAGTCTTCCTGATAGACGCTGTATCACTCTTTCAAAGACAGTTTCCTGCATTTTAGAATCCACAAGCCACTTCAAGGGCTTCTGAGTCATCTCTTGGTTAGTTAAACCAACTGCAGCGATAACAGAGGCTGGGCTTTTGAAAGTTTGACTAGGTCTGGTCTCCTGCTGTGAGATTGGCTGATACCTGCGTTTTCTGCCATTCAAAGATTCTCTTGCTGGGTTAGGCAGAGGCCCTGCCTCCTGAGCTCTGTTAGGCGGGATTTGGATCAAGCTCCTTTCACTATTTTCCCGCCGGGTAGCCTTGCCTAATGGCGACCCATTACTGTCGAATTTTGAACGACATTGGCATTTTTCTAGGTCTGATATAATTTGCCAGTGCAGCTGCCATGAGGTCAGCCTTGTATTCCTCTGTCTCTACATTCCTGCATATCCTGAGATAACCCAGCAGGGTGCCCTTTTCCCTGTAAGGCCACAAGGCATTTTTACACTGTGTATTAGAGAAATCATAAGATAGCTTATGCACTAAGTCTCTTACTGCCTGGATATTTTTTACACACTTGGAAATAGCATCTTCCAATCGGGACACAAAGTCAGCATAAGGCTCATCATTCTGCTGTCTTATAGCCCTGTAACTCAGCTCTTTCTCTTCTGATGGAATTATCTTTTCCCAGGCACTTAAGCAAACTTCACGTATCTGTCCTATTGTCTGTTCATTAAACTGTAGTTGGGACTCAACTGTGATATACTTCTCATCTCCTAGCAGCTGATGAACTCCTATATCTATACCCTCTTCTGCGTTTCTGCGATGCACGTGCGAGAGCTGTTTCGGTCTATAATAATTGATATTGCAAAGATTCTGAAGATGAGAGGCCAGATTTCGTTATCGCCCTCCAATCTGCTGGGATCCAATGCTCATAATCTGCTAGAAATTTTTTCATATTAATAACAAATGGGGAGTCTGGGCCATAGTTAGATACAGCTTGCTTTAGGTCCTTCAGTAGCTTGAAGGGGAAGGCAGCATGTTGCCATTCATGAATCCCTTGTGGGTGCTGCTCGTCGGGCTGTCTGTTTATAACTCTCACGGGATAAACCATTCTAAATTCTAAATCTGCTTCTTCTGCAATACCTCTTCTACTCTTGAAAGTAAAGATGCTTTTCTATACTCTTTGCTTCTGTTCTCTGAGCTGCTCTTTTTAACCTGTACATCTCTAAGTTGCACTTTCCTAACTGCTACTTCTGTGTCAGCCCCACTAGTTTGCATTTCTTTGGAGCTAATCTCTCTACCTCCAGCACTGGCTTGCTTGATTGTTTTACAATCTCTGGTCTTTCTTACACTAAATTCCAAAAGAGGAGCAGATGATTTTACTATGTCCTCTTCTGACTTAGTTTTTTCAATTCTGCCTAAAATCTTCTCATTTGCACCATTCTGCCTGCTTCTCACCTGATTTAAGTTTGCGTATTTTAGATGTTCCTCAATACTTTGCTGGTCCTGTTTCTCTGCTTTCTCTACCTTTGAAAGCAAGGGAGCTTCCTGGGCTTGCTTAATAGCCTCGCTTTCAATCTTGGAATTCACTGCCTCTCCTACTTTATCACCTTCAAACCATCGGAGGCTGCAGCCCCTGAGGGCATATAGGCTTTGGCCATGAGGTTTCTTTTAGAATCAGAGGCCTTAGAAAATAAATCAATCCCTGCTTTTTCAGTTTCTCCTAAAATTTTATCGCCTAATTCATGCTCATTCATAGACACTTTAGCTTGCTTTTCTAGATTAGGATAGCTCACACAAGACTTCTCACTAGACTGATAATCCTCACTCTCTTCCTCCTGCAAAAGTTTTAAAGCCATCTTAACTTGAACCCACAGAGACCACGTCTCCATAGGGATACTCTCCCCATCTCTGTG